CTCGTTGGCGTCCATTAGTAGAAGAGTAGATGTTGGTAGCCGGGTGTTTGCAAGTATTCTTTGAAAGGTTTTTATGTTTTCATGGTTTTTTTGGTTGTATACGTTGTAGATATTGAACCTTAAGCGTCCTTCTTGTATCGTGATAGCAATAGCGTCGGGATCAGCTATCTCTTCTAGCTGGCTAACCTCTGCTGTTAGAGATCTAGATATATAAAATAGAGCTCTTGGGCGGAGGTTTGGACCTGCTTTTGGAAAGATTTGGTAGAAGCTTTGGTGGGCTATTGACCTTGGAGCTTCGTAGCTATTGCTGCTAGAGGGTGCAATCCACGGTTCTTGGATTGCAATAATATTAACTTTTAGCTCAGTTGCTAGTTGTAGCGTTGACTCTGTAGCCTGTATACTTTTGTTTAAGTTTACTTGTAGTACTTTAAGGTTTTCTATCATTATTTAATGGCTAGAAGGACCTCGCAGTCTTTGCTATTCGCAAAGTGGGTTTGTTTGCAGTTTTTGCATTTTGGGAGCGTGTGGTTACAAGCTTTTCCTTTTACTTTGCAAATGCTACAGAAGTGCTGAGTAGTTAGGTGGTTTTCAGCACAGAACTGGCAGCTAGCTAGGTTTCTACACCTGCTAAAGTTGTGTCCGAACCCTTGGCACTTACTGCACTGAGCAGTTGGTGGGATTTGGCGGTATTTCTCAACCCGGAGCGATTGGCCAAGTATTGTTATTCTATTACCAATCTTCTTCGCTTCTGCTTCGGATTTAAAAGCTATGACAATAGAGCTTGTTTGCTTGCTTTTCCAGCTTCTAGATAGCCAGTAGGGGTTCCCAACGATAGTTTGGTTCTTGTTATACGTTGGGATTTCTGTGTGGAGAAGCTGGAGGTTTTCAGCTCCATCAAAGGTTGTTGGTACTCCGTGTACCACGAGTTTAGTCCAGGACTCTAGAGGCTGGGCTTTCTTAATTGGCAGCTGGTTTTGCCAAGTATTGATTTGCTTTAGAAGAAATTCTCCTGAGTATCCTTCGGTGGTCGTAAGGATAAGGTTGTTTCTTTTACTCGTTGCTACCTGTTGGATAACTGGGCCAGCGATGCCAACCTTCTGGAAGGCTTGGTTAATCTTATTTCTTACTAGTAGAGGGCTGGTTATTTGGCCCTCTTCTAGTGTTACTAGCGTCTGGTAGTAAGATACTGGTTTTTTAGCTAGTTGCGCTAGCTTCTTCTTTGGTTGGACTGTTGTCCAGGCCTGGTTTGAGTTGTTTGCTGCAATTGTAGCGTAGGAGGTTTGGGCTGGTTTTTGAGCTACTTGTATAGCTATTGGTTGTGCCTTGTTAGAAGCTATAGTAGTAGCTTGTTTGAGCGTCTTTGTTGCCTGCTGGGAGGCATTTGCCAGCGTAGCTGAGTGGTAAGCTAGTTTGGCAGATAGCTTTTCCGTAATTTGGTTAGCTACTCTGCCAGTTTCAGTATAGTCTCTGAAGACGTCTAGTAGCTCTAGTAGCTTGTTTTGGGCTACGTGGGATTCTTCCATTGTGGAGGCTTGAAGGATTAGATCTCTAGCCCAATAGATTGCCTGTTCAGAGTTCTTGGCGATTGGTTTTAGGCTAGAGGTATTCTGGTATGGATTTCTACCTCTATAGGTATTCTCTGGTGAGAAGTTGGCGTATCGTTTGTTTGGTGGTAGTATTGGTATTTCAAACACGCTAGGTGTTTGTTGGTTTTGAGTAGGTGTAGCTGGAGTAGACTCTATCTCCATTTCTCTATCAGTTTGGGCCTCTGGCCCTAGGCTCTCCTGTCTGTTTTCTTGAGTATTTACTACAATAGTATCACTGTCTGGCGGCATTTTATTACTAAGCTCTTTTCTTAGTAAGCAACTAGATGGTCTGTGTGTTTTTGTTTTCGTGAGTGAGACGTGTTCAGATTAGCTACTTTACCAGCTTCTAGCTCTATAGCGCGTGGGCTGCACGAGTTGGCACTAGTTGTAATCGATTTCTTGGGATGGATTTGTATATAATTCGCTAAAATTACACCTATTCTGAAAAACTCGAAGTTGGTGTG